GCTTGCCAGGCAAGCACTTATTCTACTGATCTATCTCCCTGGCCCCATTTAAGCCTTTGTTTATGGTATGAAGCCACACATTTTTACAAGTTCAGACATAGAGGTATTACAATAGTCTGTAGCCCTTCTAAATACAAGATTTTAGTATGAGAAAACTGGTTATATTTTTACTGTAGCTTCAGTATTTGATGTATAAAGGATAGGAAGCTGAAATATATAGTTTACAAATAAATGCTAGGACCGGCCCGATAGCTCGGTGGACTAACGCCCCTGCTTAGGCAGAGCGCAGCGGAAGGGTTTCATCCCCAGAGTGCCAAGCCGGCCCCGCCCAGGGGTTACGCAGAGAGGGCGATTGAGCTTGCTTTGGTAGCCTGCACCTGTAATCCCAGTGCTTGGGAGGCTGAAAAACAGGAGACTCACTGTGAGCCTGATCTACAGTGAAACCCTGTAGACCCTGCACTAAATACAAAGAAAAAAGGAAAAAGAAATGCTTCAACCTCCTCAGATTCTAACAAGTTCATTATTTATAGATAAAATTACATGTTAAACTGAACTGATATGAGCACAGTGATATCCATAGTTACTATGCTATATTTGATCTATTAATCATACTGTCAGGATTTCTCTAAGATTCTCCTCACTCTTATATTGAAATAAACATTTGCAACTGGAATTGATGCTAAGCTAATAAATAGCAGCCAATAATAAATAAATTGTTTGAACTGCAAACCATTTTTTTCATGTAGAGAAACTGTTTAATATGAATATTTAGTGGGTTTGAAACAAATGATGAAAAAATTCACTTGCCATCTAACTTTACAAAATAATTCACATATTAACAGTTAATTTCAAATGTGGTAATAGGGCTATCTTCACCTGTAAATTTCTTCAAGCATGGGTTGAATGATGCATGCTTGCAATTCCAGCACTTAGGAGGCTGAGGCAAGAGGCTCACCCAAGTTCAAGGTCAGCCTAAGCTACAGAGTGAAGTGAAGGAAAACCTAGATTTTGTAGCAAGATGCTCCCTCTCTCTCAAAAAATAGACTTATTGGTGACATAAAAACAACACAAACCTAAAAGATAAAATAAACTAAGCCATAATGGACATTTACTAATCACATTTGAATTTGAATGCATGGTGACCAAATATAAATATATAATATATCTTATATATTATATATAATGTTAGAATATCAGCAATGATTTAAAAAGCTTAAAGGGGTAAAACTCAATAACCATTGTAACATCAAAGTTGACAAAGTTAATGAAACGAATCAAAACTCATGAAAGACAGTAAAGTAAAAGTGTTGGTGGACTTGGTTTATTAGTCTATGTTTTGGATTGGAAGATAATCAGTTACAAGAGGTGGGTTTATGCATAGACTTAAACATTTTATTAGCTTTAATGTACTCATGCATGATCCTTGATCATAATTAATTTCCAATTAAAATCTACACAAAATATGTTTAAATTACAGTAAAGAATACCTTCCTAAAAGATTTATTTTTCCTTCCTAAAACCTTAAGCTTTACTATAGGGAGGGGAAATTATCTAGTGTGCAGTGAGGAAAAGGACAGTGTGACCACACTGGAAGAGACAGACTGAGCCCCACATCCATGACCTGGACTCTGAAACAGGCAAATGTGTAAATGACACGGCAAAGGGAAAATTGTGGATGTAAGTAGAGTTAGAGAATTTAAACTAAAGACATGGCCATGGATA